ATGAGCCACCGCCTTCTGGCATAGGACTCTAGGCAATTTCATATATAAATAATTTGTACATTGAAAATCAAAATGTCCAAGGCCCAATAATAAAAATGTGCAAATAAAATAACTATGCACAGGGCTTGGCGTGACCAGCCGATTGATAGAACCGGGCCAGTTCTACCACCCGTCTAGGTGAAGTAAGGGCCGAAGTGGTGTGTTGGGCAAAGGAACACTGCTCCTGGAACCAGTGCCCTCAACCACCAGAATCCCGTCCTCCACCGACACAGGGGCGCAACCCACGGCAAACGGGTTGGTGGACCTAATATCCCCCCGGGTCCACAACGGGGGGTTGAAGGGCGCTTGGCGTGACCCAGCACCAAGCGATCATGGGTGCCCTTCATGGGTGCCGACAATATGAGTCACTCGAGGGTAACAATAATGAACGTTCCCTATAAGTCGAGCAATATTCCAGCAGCTCCAACCTTTTGTTTCAGGTACAACCGGGTACTCTCTTTCCTAGAAAATTTGAAATAACGCTATGCGAATCCTGCACATGGTTTGGTTGAAAAACCACCTAATTTTCACCATGTGTGTGTGAGTGAGTGAGTGAGTGAGTGAGTGAGTGAGTGAGTGGGTGGGTGGGTGGGTGGGTGGGTGGTTGGGTGGAGTGGGTGGGTGGGTGAGGTGGGTGAGTGAGTGAGTGAGTGAGTGAGTGAGTGAGTGAGTGAGTGAGTGAGTGAGTGAGTGAGTGAGTGAGTGAGTGAGTGAGTGAGTGAGTGAGTGAGTGAGTGAGTGAGTGAGTGAGTGAGTGAGTGAGTGAGTGAGTGAGTGAGTGAGTTTTCAGCTGAATACAATTGTCCATGTTTAGGTTTCAGCTCACCGCAAGGAAGTTACTATGAATACAATATTTTGAGGCGAAATAATTATTATTAATAATGATAATGTTAAATTTTAATGGCAACATGCCGGAAACCAAGGGTGTTTTCATTAACCCAAACATAAATACGTTTGCACAAAGCAGAAACAAAATAATTCTTCAACTTTCTTTAATACAGCTGCTCTAAAGCAGACCCACATTACATATTTAGAGGTAAATTGGTGGTTTGTCTGAAATAATATTTAACGACTTTACAATTTACTGTATTGTCTGTATTTTAGTGATGGACATTAAAGTAGGACAAACTAATCTTGGGTTTGATCTCGTGACTTTAAAATAAGGCCATGTATGGGGCCTTAACCTTGCGTTCAAGATTATCACATGTTAGTGTGTGTGCGTGAGTGTGTGTGCGTGTGCATGTGTCTACTAATCCTGAATAATGTAGCAAACTCAGATACGCCTTACTGTGCCACGTGACCCGTGAAGATCCGGGGTAGAATAGGTCTTCAGCAACCCATGTGCTTGCCATAAAAAGCAACTATCTTGTCGTAAGAGGCGAGTAACGGGATCGGGTGGTCAGTTTCGCTGACTTGGTTGACACATGTCATCGGTTCCCAATTGCGCAGATCGATGCTCATGCTGTTGATCACTGGATTGTCTGGTCCAGACTCGATTATTTACAGACCGCCGCCATATAGCTGGAATATTGCTGAATATTGCTCACTCACTCACTCACTCACTACTGTGCCACGTTTAACAGGAGTACTCTTTAGACACAGTATACTGGCTCAGAGCCGACCACCAGTCGACCATTTATCCCGTTCATGTCTAGCGTCGGGGAGGATAACAACAACTACCAACTTTGACGTCTTTTGGTATGACGCGGACGGGGATCGAACCTCCGATAACCCGCTCTCAGGGCACGCGCTCTGACGCTCTGTTGTGAGTTAGTGAGCGGTCTGAATATAATCGAGTGTGGACAAGACCTTTAAATGATGAACATCATGAACATCAGGAACATCGATCTACACAACTGGGAACCAATGACATGTGTCGACCAAGTCAGTGAGCCTGACCACCCGATCCCGTTAGTCGCCTCTTACGACAAGCATGGGTTAGTGAAGATCAATTTTAACCCGGATCTCCACGGGTCTATGTGATGAAAGTTTTCTCTGGGGCGCTAGTTTGAAATATGAACTGAATGTGTAAACATCAAATAACATAGTTTACAAACTATTATTATATAAACCTTACTCCAATGCAATTCATTTTTGTAATATTTTATTGAATCTGCATTTGAAATGTACACAGGACGTTATCTATAGTTTCGTATTTTCGTATGTGTGTATTGGTTTCCTCTTAATATCCTTTCCTCCACCATGAGTTATCGGTGTCAGTTGCAGTATATACTGAATCAAAAAGAAACTTCACATTCTTTCTTCAGGGCACTATAAAAGAACAAGAGATGGTAAGATGGTTAAATTGTTATCATTTCATTGCTGAGATCTGTGTGATGTACTCGATACACTGACAGTGCCATAATCAGTTCCATTAGGCTACACCGCCGTTCCAAAACATGGGTATACAGAATGTCAAGTCACAAGAATAAAAATGAGAAATTTCTCAGTTCAATATCGTGTATGGCTGCCCCGCGCATTCACCACTGCCAAACACCGTCTCCTCATCGACTGCCTGATGCTTGTGAACACGTGGTTGGGGATTCTGCGCCATTGTTCTTGCAAGGCAGCGCCAAGTTCCTGCAAATTCTGAGGTTGGTTCCTTAGACCACGAAGTCTTCTCCCAAGTGCATCCCAAACGTACTCTGTTGGATTAAGGTCAGGGGACCTCGATGGCCAGTCCATGACGTTGATTCCAGCGTTTTGAAGGAAATTTCGTGTCAACATCGCGGTATGCGGCCGAGCATGCTGGAACTGTAGACCTGGGCCATGGGCCGCCATGAAAGGAACGAGTTCAGGGGTGAGCACCTGGTCACGGTAAGCAGCAGCTGTGAGGTTTCCACGGATGACCAGAAGTCGGGAACGGTTGTTCCCACAGAAAGCACCCCACACCATGCAACTTCCGCCCCCGAATCTGTCGACTTCCTGTACACAACATTGGGCATACCGTTCACGACGTCGTCTCCAGACTCTATGCCTGCCGTCCGCGAATCTGAGGGTAAACCTGGATTCATCGCTAAAGATGACTCGATTCCAGTCTCTCTGGGTCCATCGGAGGTGACGTTGGGCCCACAGCAGACGTTGACGTTGATGAAACGGTGTGAATATTTGCCCACGATATGGACATCGAGAATGGAGATTGGCAGCCCGCAACCGATTTCGAATGGTCTGTGAGGACAGTCGACCTCTAAACATTTCAGCCCTGGTTCGTGTAGCCGGCAGAAATCTGTCACGTAGGTGACGTAGGGCGATTTGACGGTCTTCTGCTCGTGACGTCACAAGTGGACGACCCGACCTTGGGCAATCAGAAGTGGTGCCAGTTTGTTGTAGACGACCTTGCAAGTCATACACAGTTCGACGGCTGCATCCCATTGCTCTTGCGACGTCAATAACTGATCTTCCCCCTTGCAACATGCCAACGGCACGTTCACGTTGCACATTTGACAATCGTGGCATTTCAAGTACCGTTAGAACTGTGGTTTCAAAGTAATTCTTGAGGCCAATGCAAACACGTGCATATGAAGAAAACGTCGATGCGAAGATCACGTGATCGACTGCACGTGCAAAACCTGATTTGGCACTAACGTCATTTGCACGACGAATGGATGGGTTTGAGTGGGTTTTGCTAACGTCTTTCTAGAGTCGAAAGATAGGGATTCCATTTCGGATGCATAGATGTATCATCAGAGAAAAATTATTAATTATTTTTCAAATTACATTTTGTGAAGTTTCTTTTTTGATTCAGTATATATTGACATCAGTACTGACCACATTTATGGAGAGGCGCAAGAGGAGGAGAACCGGTTTCCAGCTCATGTCGGGGGGGGGGGGGGTGGAAGGAGGAGGTGGAGTGAGTGAGTGAGTTAATATTTAACGTCACATCGGCAATATCTCAGCCATATCGTGACGAAAACAATTTATGCAAAAGTTAGTGAAAATACTTTGAAGATTAAAACCTGTCACCGATGGACAGAAAAAAAACACACTAGAGAACCACAGCTATGAATATAAAACTAGCGAGAAAAACTAAAACATTCCATTTAAAGAAGACAATACAGTATAAAAGACGGGCTATAGATCGCCAACTACTGAAGGTAGATCACGATACTAGGGCCCATGGGGACTTACAGTACTTTTGCTACCTGCATGGACCTTAGCTGGATTTACACCATCCCTTCAGCCATTGGCGTTGATGCTGAGATTTAGCAATACATTAAACACACACAAATACTACGATTAAAAACATGGTACACTTAAATTGACTTGAAATGTTTTGGGACTTACGTACAGGAGGGGGTGGAAAACACTACTACGATGCCTTGATTATGCAAAAAAAATAAGTGGGCAATCGTTTGAGGACATAAAAATAGATGAGGTGCTGTGCACGCTGTGCTATTTTAATGCACAGCGTGTATCCGAGAAATGGCACACTGAAGAGCCCCTCGGCGAATACGTGCAAAGGGTAAACACAAACTCTATAAGATTCTACCTGCACACAGAGACGATAGAGATAGGGGATACACCAGTTGGATGTGCAGAAAATTACAGTTTACTTACTACAAAGGTCCTTGCAGCCAGTTAACAGTACTTGATATCACTAGTGTTAGATCACTATTATGGTTGGTTCAACCAATATAAACTGTGCCTTTCATGCTAAATTCTAATTATTCGTTATATGTTTTACGAAGTGAAATTCTATTTATAGTGTCGAAATATAATGCATTTTAGCAATCTAGGTTTTAACTGTCATGTTTTAACTGGCAATTATACCATAATTTATGTCATAGGAAGGTCAATTTTCATGTATAATTCGCACAATGGTACTAGTTGGTTCATTTGTGAACAACATACCTTAGTAAGAAGGGATCTCAAACGGAAATTCTTACACGAGCGTTATATTTACCTTGATTATAACTTTACCTATATGACTTTATTTATAGTATATTATAATTTATATATACATAGTCAAATCCCGATGAGTCGAATGCCGCTGTCTCGAATATTATACATAACTCGAATTACCTGTCGGTCACGACCATTCCCTGTTAGACTCAAGAAAGAAATTTGGTCCCATGAGATTCAAACAACAGTAATCTTGTATACATACGCCGAAGTCAGTCAATGAGAAGTTGATTGGTGTAGCAAACTGATCCAATTAACAAACCAGCGCGGCTCACACCTTTCCGCCATTGACGGGTGAGTTCAAAAGGCAGATTAGTGATTTTACGGAAATCACTGTCTGTGCTAATCAGACTGGAACTGATAAGGTGCCCCTATAAGTGATAGGGAAATCATTAGGTAAACAAATGCTTAGGTGGAAGAATTAGGACTGGATCATCTTTTTTTCTACCCTCATAGACATACCTATGTCTCGAATACATCGATAAGTCGAATTTATTACTTGGTCCCCAGCGATTCGACTCATCGGGATTTGACTGTATATATATTATATGTATGTATTATGAATTTTGAACCAGTTTTAGTCACGATATGGCTGAAATATTGCCCATGTGACTTTACATCTTAACTCACTCACTCACTCAAATCCCGGATGGGGCTCAACCCAAAAAGTGTTGGAATCTGTACTTTACAAAGAAAGTGTTTTCCCAAATATAACATATGTTACATTTGACCACTTTCTAAAATGGCATTGTGTATTTCACAGCTTTCGGGCGTGAGAGCCGTGCTAATTAGCGTTTATCAGAGGGGTACACAAAGGGTACCACACAAAGTCTGCATTCTAGACTACCAGTTGTCCGACTCCCATTTTTTGTGGAAGCCGCGGTGGCTGAGCTGTCAGGGGTCTGACTTTGTGTGCTGGCGATTAGGTGCCCGACTCTGAGGGTGTGGGTTCGAATCCCGGATGGGACTCAACCCAAAAAGTACTAGAATCTGTACTTTACAAAGAAAGTGTAATCCCAAATATAACATATGTTGTTGCGTAACTGAAGAAGTTCCAAGAATGTAATACAGCCAACAATCTCTCGCTGCTATGAAAGAAAGGATAACAATATATGGATCAACAACTTCTTTTTTTATTACAACGGGAGCGACGTTTGTTGATATGATTTCTAAAATGTCTAATAATAAAGAAAAACAACCAGTCTTAAACCTCGTTTGATAAGGAGAATGAAGCACATTGTTCACAGAGAAGTGAAAGCATTTTTATCCAAAGTCCTGCCTATTTACAATGTCAATTTTGACAACTCCGTCGAATCGTATACCACATATGACGCTTTTAAGAAATATGCTTACAATAACTCCAGATATAAGTTATGTGAATTTACTGATGGACAAGAGGCTGTTCAAATGATAAGTCACGAATTAAACTGACGCGATCAAGTTTGATTTCTATGTAAATAGTTCATGCACAGGGCATGATTGATGATCCTCAAATGGTGGCCTTCAGATCATGACGACCTGAAGTGAGAAACATAAATTTACTCAGTATTATTAGGTAACCAACAAGTAACCATTTTTTTGCCAATGCACTTAGAACAGTATTCCATTCCCGTGAACTTTCGGGTTAGAATTTGTCTACAGCGACTCATGCTCGTCATAAGGGGCGATTAACGGGATCGGTGGTATCCCAACTGCGATGACTGATACTAATGCTGTCCCTCACTGGATTTGTTTTGTGTTGTTGTTTTTACCATTTTTCACTTGTTTAAAGGTAAAGGTACAGTACATGTGGTCAACGTATGACATTGATAGGTACAATTGTGCTGATATACAAGATTACAAAAGCAATTAATGATATTTCTATAAAAACAAGTCTGCAAATGGCATCAGATGCCATGATGCCATATGTATGGGTATGTATGTATGTATGTATGTATGTATGTATGTATGTATGTATGTATGTATGTATGTATGTAGGTAGGTATGGGTATATGTATGTATGTATGTATGTATGTATGTATGTATGTATGGGTATATGTATGTATGTATGTATGTATGTATGTATGTATGTATGTATGTATGTATGTGGGTATGTATGTATGTATGTATGTATGTATGTATGTATGTATGTATATATGCTGTATGTATAATATATATATATGTATGTATGTATGTATGTATGTATGTATGTATGTATGTGGGTATATGTATGTATATGTATGTATGTATGTATGTATGTGGTATATGGAATGTATGTATATATATGTATGTATGTATGTAATGTATGTATGTATGTTATATATATATGTATGTATGTATGTATGTATGTATGTATGTGGTATGGAGTATATGTATGTATATGTATGTATGTATGTATGTATGTATGGTATTGGTATATGTATGTATGTATGTATGTATGTGTATATGTATGTATGTATGTATGTATGTATGTATGTATGTATGTATGTATGTATGTATGTATGTATGTATGTATGTATGTATGGGTATATGTATGTATGTATGTATGTGGGTATGGGTATATGTATGTATGTATGTATGTATGTATGTATGTATGTATGTATGTATGTGTGTATGTATGTATGTATGTGTATGTATGTATGTATGTATGTATGTATGTATGTATGTATGTATGTATGTATGTATGTATGTATGTATGTATGTATGTATGTATGTATGTATGTATGTATGTATGTATGTATGTATGTATGTATGTATGTATGTATGTATGTATGTGGGTATGGGTATATGTATGTATGTATGTGTATATGGTATGTAGGTATGGGTATGTATGTATGTATGTATGTATGTATGTATGTATGTATGTATGTATGTATGTATGTATGTATGTATGTATGTGGGTATGGGTATATGTATGTATGTATGTATGTATGTATGTATGTATGTATGTATGTATGTATGTATGTATGTATGTATGTATGTATGTATGTATGTATGTATGTATGTATGTATGTATGTATGTATGTATGTATGTATGTAATCCCCCATTTCTGGTGTCCCCCGCCGTGATGTTGCTGGAATATTGCTAAAAGCGGCGTAAAACCAAACTCAGTCAGTCAGTCAGTGTATGTAATCCCTCACTGGATTGCCTGGCTCCAGACTGGACAATGTACAGTCCGCTGCACATAGATTTAATATTGCTTGGTGCAGCATTAAACCACATACAAACTAACAAACAAAATAATATTTCCAATTAAACAAACTCAGATTTGTTAGGACTGAACCGGGTTCTTGCCTCTAGGCTTGACAATCGATTGCTTCAAACGCCAAGACCCGCGCTCGATTTGTGCAGCCTATTTCTGGTGTCCCCCGCCGGGAATATTGCTAAAAGCAGCTCAAAACTGAATTCACTCACTCACTTTGTACAGTTCACTGATCAGCACTCTGATGGACTTGCTATCAAATTGAAATATGCTTTGTACCATGAGCTAAGACAACAAATACAAAGTCTATTTCAGTTTGAAGTTAATAACTCAAAAAGCAACTTACAAACTTTAATTTCTTTCCGTACATACTTGCATAGACCTTCGACCAGGTTCCTCAGACCTCTTGCTGAACATTCTCATTTCAAGCTTGTTCATGACCAGTCTATGATGTTCCTGAAACCTTTTGATGTTCAGGACCTTTATTTTCTCACCCGAGTCTAGCTTGTAAACCTCCACTTTCCTTGAAATGAGCAAAGCGACATAAAATAGATTTTTATGTAGTTTAATCTTTACTAAATACAACGATTATTTTTTACAGGAATTAGAATTGGAAAATCTGCTAGATTACATCTTCAGGTGCCGAAAAGCAATTTCATGCTAAATTCAATTTCATACTCACATTCGCGCTCAGTTTTGAATTCAAGAAGAGGTTGTAAAACTTTCCAGTACAAAAGTAGGAAACCGACCCAGATATTGGCGTCTGGTGATTTGCAATGGCAAGGGAATGAAACGAGAAAAGAGTAAGTCCGAGACGGAGGAGGTTTGTATCATTCAATATTTTGTCCAGAGAGCTCAAGTCTTGTTTGGCAAGATCAGTGGAAGTAGTGTCGTTGACAGCGAACGACTGGATGACAAGACATCATGCCATTATTGACACCGAATTCAGCGTGGGACACAGTCCAAAGTAGCCATGATATTTCTTTTTTCATATTTAAATTCAGCACGAAAACGAACTCAGATTTATAAAAACCTTCGTTTATAGAGTCAGAGTTTCGAGTTTCCACGAAATGAAATCGTACTCAGGAAAGTTTTATTACCTCGGGGACAGATATTTAGACACGCATCCCGTATTCCAGTCACTCCAGCATCAACGTGTACAGTGGTGCAAGTCCTGGTAGAATTAAACATCTTGCACTCAAGCCTAGCTGTAGCCGAGAGCCGCGATGCGGTCTTATACAGTCAAGACATTACACTGAATCGCGGCCGAGAACACCACCTTTAAACTCCTATTCAGATTCTAGTGGCCGATTGCCCCTCGTATTTTCTTCTATTGTCATTTTAGTCCTTGAAACTGTGTGACGGGATGACTGAGTGAGTTTACCTTTACGCCACACTCAGTAATATTCCAGCTATATGGCGGCAGTCTGTAAATGATCGAGTCTGGACCAGACAATCCAGTGATCAACAGCATGGGCATCGACCTGCGCAATTGGGAACCGATCACATGTGTCAACCAAGCCGGCGAGCCTGACCACCTGATCCCGTTAGTCGCCTCTTACGACAAGCATGGATTACTGAAGGTTCATTCTAACCCGGACCTTCATGTTAAAAGTTGAAAACTATTTTTGGACAATACAATGTAAAAATGGGCTATTAATCGCCAACAACTGAATGGAGATCACCTAACTAGGGACCATAGGGACTTACAGTACTTTTGCTTCCTGCGTGGACTCAAGCTGGTTTTATATCATCACTTCAGCCATCACAAAAATACTACGTTTAAAGAATCTGGTAAGCTTAAATTTATTTTGAATGTTTTGGGACTTACGTACACTCTCAGGAGGACAATAATTTTACAATACTTTAACACCTTTTGAGGGTAAGTTACTAATCTAAACGACAAATCATTCCACATTTTTTTATAGTTTGATGAGGGTAAGATCGACCTGTGATTTCACCATCTGCCACGGCGGCGAAGATAGAAGTCTGTAAGGTGCTATGATATCGAGATCAATTTTAGCTGCACATATGTGTGGTTGAATTCTGATTCCAAGTGGTGTAACCAGGTTTGGCAGATTAGGAAACAAGTTTTCATAGAGAGATTGAAAAAAAAAAATTGTATGCTGGATTGGACTGATTTGAACGTAATTTAGCGATATACTGCAGTGGAAGTTTAATGCGGCGTTGTTCAAGGGAAGGTTCGTTAGCCTTAGTATATAGACTTATGTAGACTGTCTACCGGAGAGGTCCTACAAGCTCCCGGGCAGAGCCTCAGGCCTTGCTGGTGGGTAGAATTAATTTTTCTAAATAGCTTTTGCAGGCTCCACCATGTAGCTGTACTCTCTATTTGAAATGACTTTTAACCCTCAAGAGCCTTCAAGCACTTTGTTTTCAAATATTTTATGTATGGTACGAATGTTAAGTGACGGTTGAATATGAGTCCCAGGAGTTCTATGCAAAGTTAGGGTCGAAGTGGTTTGTTGGATTAAGGAACAATATTGCCGGTTCTGTTATCCTCAACCACCAGAATCCCTTCCTCTGCCGACACATGGACGCAACCCACGGCAAGCAGGTTGCCCAGTTTGGTCGCCTCGTACGACAGGCAACGGGGTGCTGTGGACCTATTCGACCCCGGATCCACACGAAGCATTAGGGATACATTGAATGTAGAAAGTTATACATCATCATACACATCCATTTCATATATTATTATGTCGGTAAGATATCAGGCAGTATTTTATTCGCTCAGTTTCATTAAAGATGCCAAATAGAAATATTCCTGCACTGTAATTTACTGCTTTTCAACGTGTAACAAAATTGCGGAGAACCTTTAACAAAGTCTAGTTTCCAAACAAATCGGGCCTATTCTATGACGTTTATTTTTGAGATCATCAGAAAAAGCAATTGGCATTGAGTTGGGGGTTGTGTCTTCTGTGCACTATATAAATCAGCTTGATCCCATGAAAACAACTTCTGTAATAATGTGAATGGATAAGGAAAATTATGAATTATAACATAAAAGCAGACGTTACACATTAAGTGCGATGCACCCAAAGTACGAGCGGGTGAAACGGCATCCCAGAGAGTATTGCGTAGCGCTAATGAAGAACTTCCTCCGATACGGACTATAGAAATTTGGGGCATGTGCACAACATGTCACTTCGCTGTCGTTGAAACAAGAACTAGACGGGTTACATACAGGTCTATTATTATCTAAACTTAGGATGATAAAAATATTGACTGTTGCCTGTATGTACAGCGAAATTATCTGGGGAGTACATCGATATCGACTTTTCAGTCAAAAACCCATGGAAAATAAATATAAAAAATCTGAAGAGGAGTTATGTAGGTAGTGTTCTTGGCCCTGATGCAGGGTCATGTCTTGCCTTTACTGGACCGCATTGCGGCTCTCGGCTAACCTACCTGACATTGTTCACAAATCAGTTATTAAAAAAATCATTACGTTTCGTCGAAATACAGGACGAAGAGTAGGTTCCCTTCCACTGACAGGTCGTCACACGCTGTGTTAATGTTCATCACACCTTCAAGGTACTTGCTGCTGCCGCCATCATTCTCGCAAAGTTTGTTCAGGAATGGCAGGCACATATAAACACATGTACCTGTTGATCAACAGCATCACAGAAACTTATATTGAGAACAATTGTTATCATGAATGTTGCAGGATATATTGGTCAACGTTCACATTTTTCCACTTCCGCCAACAGGTTACACAGAAACAGGTCACAATGTTCAAACACACGAGGTCCTTAGAAACTTCTCGACTGATAAACAATATCGACTTGATAACTATATGTTGGCAGAGCACCCATCCACACGAAATATTGTTTGAAAGCGACGGTTATTGAAAACATGTTGAAACATACAAAGCCCCACTGACCATTGAGAAAACTAGTTGAAAGAAGTGAAGAATTGGGGAATACCCGAGACCCGTTTGTTATAATGTCTACACTCAAGGTCACCAGTAAAGTGTCGTTCAAGTTTTCTTTCATCTTAAGTTCCCTCTGTTTGAACCTAAACTGAGCAGTAAAGCAGTAATTTGTTAAGACCGACAGTGGTCAGTTCTGACCACTATCAAAGATCGACGTTTTGTCTGTTTGCTTAATGGTATCTATTTGACAGAATCTATTTGCATAACTGTGCAGGTAGCAGAAGTATTGTAGGCCCTCACGGTCCCTTACCATGGTGGCCTAACTTTCGTTACTAGAGATCTCCTTTTTGTATTCTGTTTGTGAATTCATCTTTCTATATGTTGTGTGCCCTCAAGCTACCTTCAAAAGCTGTATATGATAATCTATCTACCTTTATACTGTACTCCTCCGACAAGGTTTATTAATGTTGAAATATTTTAGTCATTGATGTATATTTTCTCACGTCACGATATATGCTAAATACTGTCGATGTGACGATACATTTTAGCTCACTCACTGGTGTCTTTGATTATGTATCCGTTCATAATGAACCTTAAAGTGAACTCATGCTTGCATACTTAGGTAGCATGTTTAACGCCGCACAGCAATGTTCCAGCTGCGCAATTGGGATATGATGACATTTAGCAACCAATTCAGCGAGCTTGACCACCTCATCCAAGTAATCGCCTCTTAAGACAATGGGTGAATGAGTGAGTGAGTTAATATTTATCGTCACATCAGCAATATTTCAGCCATATCGTGACGGACAAGCATGGATTGTTGAAGACCAATTCTATAAGCATGTTTGACAAAAGGAATAGATTCAGTAAAACGAAACAAAAACTTGCTTGGTGTCAGCATGAAGCAGCCTTGGATTTTCGACGCTTGCAATCCTTTCTCTCCTGGAATTGCTAGAGAACTTGTAGATGCTGTCCGTAGACATTATTATTGTAGCTTTTCTGACAAAGCGGATCTGTATCGCCTCCGCTGGAACAGAAAATACCATGACACTGTTTCCTTTACAAACTGTTCAGTTAAAAGTTATATTCACATATTCAGATTTAGATTTAGTCAAATTATGTATTTACCAGTGCTGCTAGGGTTTTATTCGTAGAACTTGTTTTAAGTTTGTCTAAATTTACTGTGGGGAGATGTAGGTCTTGCTGGGGGTCCCTGCAGGTAGTAAGGTACTGTAAGTCCCCATGGTCCCTAGCATGGTAGTATTCCTTCAGCTACCTGCGATCTGTAGCCTGTTTTTATATTTGGTCTAGAAGCCAGACCCCCCAAATGGTGAAAATGTGGTGCCGTTTGTGGCGACCAAACGGGGTGAGAGTTTTCACAATCAGGAATGATTTAGCTTTGGTTTAAAGCCGGTTGTCATCAGCTACCGTGCGTTACTACCGTGCAGGGGCCCTTATAAGGTGCAACATGTCATGTCAGTTATGGCAATATATTTTTAAACGATAACTGGATGGTTTAATTTAATAACTCTGGTTTGGATTGACCGATTTTCATCAAAATAGTAGTTTTGGAATGTTCAGATCATGATTTAAACTTGTGGACAATAATATTACATTTTTCTTGAAAATATGAGTTGAACTTTACAAATTAAACGTAATTGTTTCCAAATTATGTTTTCTTATTCAGCTATATCATTTGAAGATCGTATATACCTTTGGTTGGCATTGTATTCATGAAAAACCATTACAAAGGAAACAAAGGTTGGTACTTTTATTTAGATCAACAACATATAAGATAAAGTCAGCTTCATGCTTTACAAAGTATCAACAATACTAAATATGTCGAAGATACTGTTGAACTATCATACACATTTGTGTTTATTGACATTCTGGCAGAAACAACAATTCAGCTGATGTCAGAAGGAGATACGTCTTGATAAGTGACAGTATTGCACTGGCATGCCATGAAACCCTTAAAGCTGATGAATAATAGTATGACATCCTAATTGAGATTTACAAGTGACATTATGGTGTGCCATTTTTCTGTTTACAATGTGAAATATTACGACTTTGGTCTTTTTGATTTATTTACGCCGGCAATCATTAATACATTGTAAAAGATATGACACACTGATCAGAAAGGCGTTATGGTATCTTACCACCAAATATACACACAGTCATGTCATCATAACGCAAGCAACATTGTCTTCATATCAATTCGTGTTTATTGTTGCTTAATAGTCATAGTGTATTCCCAGTTGACATGTTAGTCAATGTCAACATTGTCAAGAACCATGGGAACATGTTTCAAGTCCACATCCACATGCCGAAATACACAACAGGTTCAACCTCTTGCAGCTACACCTTCCTGTACATTGGCGTTTTCATGCGCAGATATGTTGAAGAAGGTCCATGGAAACGATTTAGTCTATTTAGTATATACGTTGATCCTTGCACCCCCAACAACCCTTTCTCACTCCATTCTGTTCTCTGTAAATTAAATCATTGGAAGAACAGTAGGATGACACGAGGTTTGTCAAACACCCTGTGAAGATTTTATACTGAGTATTCAAACATGTGATAGGGCGGAAGATTTTTGGGATCAGTCAAGTCTCCTTTTGGGAAGTAGTATTGTGCGACCGTTGCAGAACCATGGAGGAACATCACCTGTGTCCACGAGAGCATTGATACAGTGAAGTCATTATTACAGCCTCATGCAATTATCGCCTTTGTTTTGACGTTGTTTTACAGATTCAAGATAATATGCAGCAGAGAGGGTTCGGGTGATCCTGGCACAGTCAGGCTGGTAAGGCTCATCATCAGCTCAGGGCCCTTGCCCCTCTACACACAACCCAGACAGCGAATGGGACTTCTCCTGAAGCGCTGCCTAGTCGAACCCACCAAGAACTTTCCGGAGATATGAAGGCTACCCAACACTGCAGCCTTTGGCATTATCCAGAGTGTCAGGGCTGTGCTCAGTGGAGGAGCCAGGCACTCTCCTGATCTGCGCCAAGAGATCAAGAGGTACCAAACCAAGGGCAAGAACAATGGGGAACCTGACGATAGTGTTCTTGGGATGCAAGCGAGAGACATTTCAAAGGCAGTCGCATATTATCATGCTTTTCCTGAATCTTGCTAATCACATTGCTGTCAAAAGGGACAGCAAATTCAATGATATAAATAAATTCAGTGTCTTTATCAACAAGGACAAGATCAGATGTGTTAGCTGGAAGTCTTCTCAGGCTGTATATGGGCCCTATTCACAGAAGTTTGAAGAATTGATTTTCCATGACGCCCTGGACATGTTCAGGGTCGTACCATGGATGGACCTCGAGTCAAAGCCACAGGCATGGTGAAGATGGAAGTAGAAGCAGCGAGCCATGCCATCATGTCGTTTAAGATATGCTGTTTGTGCCAATGAAGGGCATCCACTGACAAGGTGTTGGACAGTCTCTGTAAATTCATTACACAGTCGGCATTTCATGTTGATATTTTCTTTAAGAATCACAATTTGGCGATTGTGAGTGGGAAGTGACCCTGGTCCTGAGCAGCAAAAGGAAGCCCTCAGTTTCACATTTGAGACCAGCCGACTTCACCCAGGCGAATGAGTCGGTGGGATTGCTATTCTGTTACACACTGCATGTTCACCACACGATGCCATGGGTTCTCAGAAAGCTTCTCCACAAATGACCGACTCTGGGCGAACATGGTTGAATTTGATGTGGCTTTTGTTTATGTGCAGCGCTGTCAAGTCGTCGTCGAATATCTTGCTTTGGTTGAACGCCGGGCTGGCTATAAGTTTCCTGTTTTATTCCTCGCTGGATCTGACTAATATCACGTTAACACATTTTTCTCAAATTCTTCATCGTCTTGCCAAACACCCGAGTTGTTCATGAGCTTGTACAATTTTTTGAAAGTAGCTCTTGGCTTGTTTTACGCCAGATTTGTGTTCAACTGAATGTAGGTTCCATCCATTAACTTTGATCGAACTGGAGGCTCTGCGTATTTTCGTGAGTTTCATTCCCAGCGACAATGCCAGCTGCAGGTGCAATAGTGAACGGCGTATCTTGACTTGTTCATCAAGTTACGGCTTGCGAGTTTATCGACGCTAGCCAGCTTGTTGTTTTACAGTTTACGTTGATATTCAGACATCCAGTCGGGTTCACCATCAATCGTTCGGGGAGCTAGCAGATAGCTGTTTGTGATTCGTGTGTAGTTCTGTGGGATAGTCAAGTCCGCTTCGAGCACATAGCCTTTGTTCGAATCCGGACGCGATACTATTCCGATCAATCATTTCGGGTGAGGGAGACCCATTGAATCCCGGTGAGAGATACTGACTCATAGCCCAGCCATTACAAGTTGTTGACATTGAGATAGAAGTATGTGTTTGCGTCAGTTTGCGAGGGTCGTTAGCTGGAGACATTACTTGTTGTTGGCTTTGGTGTATCGTTTGGAGGTCATGGAAATCCACCTGCATAAGCCTTTCTCCACGAACAGGTGCATGTGGTAATCCGTCAGTAGTTTCAGCTCCATGCCAGTCTTGTTAAACAAAGTCCCCAAGAGAGACGGGGGAGGAATACCCAGCGGGGATCCAAACGTGCGTACTGTTTCGAGAACGTTTTCTGGAATATCTCAAACACGTCGGCTTGGAGCACCACGTCCGTTTTCAGAAATACACAGGTTGTAGTATCGCCCAAATTCTTGCAGCCCGAAGTTTGTCCCACCGCGTTAATCGCTGGCGCATAATCCCATCTTGAAGATATTGGAATGGGTCCAGTCATTTAGCGTAAGGGTGGTCGATTGGAGAGTATCGCGTCTGGATTGAACTTGGACCAATCGTCCATGTACTCGCCGTGAGTGAACGCCCTTCGCCAGCGGCAGGGGTCGATTCACCGACGTCGGTGTATTGATTGGTGATATCAAAGTCGTCCTGGTCCTTGGGTTCACCATGCTGTCGAGAGACGACAGCAGGGACTTGAAGCGCTATTGATAAATCTCCAGACCGTCCTAACGACATGTGTTTTCCATGTTGTTTGGGGATGCGTTATGTTGCCGCTGATTGCGGTGGTGGCCTGCATGATCAGGTGAGAATGTCGTAACTGCGAAGATTATTGTGGCTACTTGACAGGGATTTTGATGGTCTTGGGATTGATTTTTGAGCTTCAAGTTAAGCGAGCATTGTGAGTGACACCTGCAGAACTTGCCGATTGATTATTGGCGGTGATCTCTCGCGACATCCCGTTCAAGGGTTTGTCGCACATGTAACAACTCTTAGCTTTCTTATGGGCTGCGCCAGTCATCTTGGGTCCATGCGCGTAAGGGGACGATGGTGTACAACTGTTTCCTGATGGAGCATTCGTTTTCCGTTGATTCCGATTCGACCGATAACCGAACCAACAGGCTTTGATATTCCTTACTTTTTATGCGTGAAACTTTTTCGGGGACAGCTGGTGCGACTGTGTCGGCCGGTTTTGATGAAGGGGCTTCAAAGGTCGGCATAGATGACGTAGAGGGCACAGGCATTTGATGTTTGTGGTTGAGGGAATTTGCGAGTGTGTTTTCTTTTCGGCGGGCATGTCTATTCAGATGGTCGATCTCTCCCATGGCTTCGGCAATCACTCCCAATGGGATTCCATAAAGATGAAGCTCCGCGTGAAGCAATGCAGGCACCTTTTAAGCAGAAGTGTTTTCTTTTCGCCCTTATGCTTTGATTGATCATTACAACAATCTGTTGAAATATTTTTATCCACGTGCGAGTGATAACTTGTAAGCCTTGCTGGAACATGAATATATTTGGTGGGTCTTTAGCGATTGTTCACCGTTTGTGAGGGAGCTGATCCTGTTACGATTGTGCTGTTCCCTTCGTGTCCCAAGATATTGATGGCTATATTAAGTCGTTCTGTTTTTCGATTTTGGTGAAAGAGATGGGGGTGGGTTCGTCTATTGCCATCCCTGTTCGATCCCCATCGTTTTCGGGGATAGCAGGAAGAATCTGTCTGAATATTAGCTTTGGCGAGGAAACTTTGCGGATCTGATCACAACCCTCATGCAATCATAAAGCGCTGTTTTGGCGTTGACCATGGCTTGCTTTTCTTGTAATATGGTGGCAAGTCTAGAGTGCGTTCCCTCTACTTTATGTGTTATGCAGTTAAGCTATGTCGAGATGGGCCGATGTCGATACTGTCCGCGACCAACAAACCCAGCTATGCGTGTAGCGTTCCAGAAGTCGTATTTTTACCAAGTAATGTGTCGATGGACTGCATCGATGGATCAGACTGCTGGTGCGACTTCTTGCTTGCCTCTGAAGTAAGAGCTGGGGCGTGCTTTCGATTGGCGCCGTCCGTCTGCTGTTTGTCTGCTGTTTGTCCAGCGACAGTTTTGCGATGAGAGTTGAAATTTAGGGGCTTCCCAAGATCGTTCTAGTTTCCTTACCAGCTTTTGATGTTGTCCATGTCCATGTTTTTTGTCGACGTCAGCCTCCAGCCTCTCAGATACTTACCGATCCCGCACGAACCGTAGTTGACGGCCGGGTGTTATTCTTCCAGCCAGTTCATGGAGCTCAGCTTTCCTCGTACGAATAACTTCTGAGCAAAAGTTGCTGCTCCGGGTTTGAAGCTGTTTCACCGATGGGATGTCATTGTTAAGTCTTTCATGCCGCAGGCAATCTCAGCGGCAGAGTTTCCTTAAGCGGGGTAACGATCACTCCATGTTTTCCGGCGATGCTTTTCGGTTTCACCGAATGGTAATCATCTTTTTTATCAACGTGTGAAAAAACTTTTGTAAAATGAAAAATAATAATATTCGAATCGCGAAATCAAATCTCTAATGAAGTTTCCATCTCTTTATGTTAAAACTCGCGAGTCAAAATCTCGAGTTTGATTTGAATTATTGTGAAGTATGCCTCGCTGTTAAATGTTAACCAACCCTGTCATTACGTTGGATAGGGTGTAGCCGACTTATATAAAAGTGATTTTCATTATTCGATTTTTATTCTGAGGGCAGTCGGTTCGTTTACTGTTGAGATTATCTCTTTTAGATCCGAAGTAGATAAGATGGCTGCGTGCCACGTCAGCTCCATGTGCTTTGCAGCGGCGATAATGGCATTTCCGCATTCAGCACTTTTACTTTGCCTGCGTGTTATTCATGAAACCCTTCGTATAGACATCGTATTGGCCATGCGCCAATATTCAGTGGTGCATTTCTTGCAGGTTTCGGTTTCAGCACATACTT